CCTTTGTCCTTATATCTTTATTACCAGGGAAACTTGTGATTGCATTTTTAACATCCAATAGGATAGAGAGGCTTGACCAGACTGATTGGGAAAAATGTAAATGTCAGAATTCATGCTGAAAGACAAAAATATCATCTTGCCTCCCGATCCATTTCCATACACTAGGGCAAACAAGGTAGAGATATTCCTCCTCATTCCCCTGTGCAAACCAGCTCTCTCTTCAACCAGCATTTAGCCAGAAAGCACTGCAATAAGACTTACAAGTGTATAATGAACAGATTGTTAGGTATATTGTTATTAGTATGTTTCATTTTGTTTTTCCTATCACATACTTGAATGTTGAGCTCTCTTTGTTGACATGCCTAGATCTTGGAAGTGTGTTTTCTCATGTAATACTTTTTATGTTCCATTCAAGATCTGAAAACAATCACATTGGAAGTTTACTCATTTTTGGACTTCGGTGATTCTGATTTTGCTGGTTTTTTTTGTTTGTTTGTTTGTTTTCTTTTTTCTGTTGGTTTGTTTGTTTCCATTTATTTATTTATGCATTTATTCCTTAAGCAAAAGCATGGCTGTGGAAATCAGGATTCTGAACATAAAGCGTGCCAGTCTCCTTCATCTTTCTGGCATTTTAAGCTACTTTCATCATTTTTAACCAAATCAGATCTAGTGGTAGAGTTTTTCAGAAACAAAAAATTTCTGTAAGGTCTATGAAAAGAGTTGTTCCCAGGGAAGGTCAAGGATTTCTGCTATCACAAGGGAATTAATGAGGCTAGGGCTACAACCAGGATTTGAATAAATCTGTTGTAATTAAATCATTGCGTTTCTAGCTTACTTCAATTTCCTACTTGGTCTCTGACTTCTATATTCATATTTCTGATTACAAATCATTCTAAAGGATAACGGACTTAGGCAACTACTGATTCTGGTTTCTCTGTCTCCTGTTGATGCTGTTTTCCATTTTAATGTAGTAATTGTCAGAAAATCTTAATAGCATATGAATTGTTTTGCAAAGGTATGAAAGTGGTTGAAACACAAACGTGTTGCTGCACGTTGGACCTAGGTGTGTAGGAAAATCAAACCTTCAGGTATCTCCTGCAATCCTTTGGACCAAAGGGCAGTAATTTCCTAGGGTTGAAGTTCAGTCTTTCATATTTGTCAACTTCAGTGAGCAAACCACTGAAGTCCACTATCCGTGTAAGTAGGGAAAATGAAAGTACTTGTGTTCAGGGAATGCAAGACAACTGCAAAGTGACAAAGATGCCTCAGTTCTGCAATACAAGCTGTATTTAAAATGGATCATTTGGTTCATGCCATTCAGGTAAGGAATGAAAGTCTGGCTGAAACAATGCTGTGCGCTCACAAATGTGAGGTTTGCATGAGTATCGAGGTGGCTGTTTGCTCTTTACATTCCCCAGGGAATGGTTTCAGCCCTGGATTAAAATGGCTTCTTTCTCGTCTAGATAAGTGGGAGTACATTTTGGAATTCTGCGTGCAGCATTTTAAACAATTTGCTAAAGGTTGTTTAAGCTTCTCTCTTTCTAATACTTTAATGTAAGTATGAACACAATCTTCTTTCTTAAGAATGGACGAGGCATAACTCTAATCTATGATTATAGTTCTACATCAGAAGCTACCAGCTAGCAGAGTCTTTCTTAAAGTCTCTGAAATGCTCATTTATTTGCTGAAAATTCGCTTGAAAGAGAGTTTCCTGAAACTTTTCTCATGATTGGGCTTGTGTTGAGGGCTTGTGTTGAGGTCTGGGTTTGTCCAGAGTTGAAAAGTAAAACTGAGAAGACTCTCTAAAATGATTACTGGTGTTAGTAACTAGAATATGTTCCAAAATAATGACAATATCTTCTTCTTTCAGATGCACTAGAAACTGAGTTGGGTAAGTGGTTTAAAATCTTTGTTTTCTTGGAATATGTACTGCTGCTTTAGGTAACATCACGCCATGGATAAAATCACAGTGATGGCAATAACTGCACATCAGAAGGAAGCAGAAGACAGGCTTACAATTACCCAACTGTGCATGAGATTCACAAAACCCTTCTGTCTCTTTTCCTTCTGCAGCTTCCTGGAGAGCTCAGGACAAAGCAGGTAAGCAGACAGGAGAAAAGACAGGAAAATGGTGCACTTCTCTGTCCAAATTCTCCTGAAATGGCAATGCCATGATCTTAGAGATCAGGCAGCTGAGCTGGAGTCACAGGAATAAGCCTGAATGAGCTGAAGTCAATAGCATAAGCCTTCACTGGATAAAATGAAACAAGGTTTGGATGAGACAATTGGAAATACTGAGAAAAGGAGTTGCAGAATTGTGTTGTTGTAAGGTATAGATCCTTAAGAGAATGGATGGAGAAATGGAAAAGTAAAAGAAACCATGTGAAGAGTGAGAGAGTCACCTGGATTTGCCCACGAGAGAGACTTCATGTCCATGACAGCTCCAAGGGCCTGTACCTGTGGGCTCCTACGTGTCTGTTGCTTGCTTTCTTTGGGGAAAATGTTAAAAACTTTGTTGAAACAAGACAGGATTACTGAAACCCTGAAGTAATTCAACCAATCTTCCCCTGAAGATAGAGGTCCCAGAGGCTCACTGGATCATTTTTGTTTTCTCCTCCAGTTCCCCCTACTGCAAACAATGAATGCTGACTCCTCAACCTCCAAGAGTCAGGCGCTCCAGATGTTGAGGACAATGCATGTGAACCTGATTGCTTGAGCAGCCCCTTCATAGTCCCATCCTTGTGGGGAAGGAAGGGTTTGCAGCTGGAAAATAATTCTGGCGAGTCATTATCATGTCCAGATTACTTGGATATTCTTCCTGGTCTTTGACTTGTTTATTCAGACTTTTAATTAAAACCATTCAACTGTGTAATGGACTCAGGCAACCCAGTTTTGCATTAAGGGGTAGTTATTCAAGTCTGTGCTGTAAGTCCAGTCGTGTCTGAGTGGACTCACATGGCTACTCTTAAGGAGCCTTGTTCTATTCCATGAGACCTCTCATGGCTACTGTAATGAATCATGCTGTTTATTTCAGCAACAGATCACAGATTTGTTTGGATCACCTGTGATAATTACAGTGTCAGCAGCACATATGCAGGAACCAAGAATGTGAAAGGAAAAAAAGAAAAGGGAATAACTCTATAGGGATTTCTAAGTTTCATGGGGAAGTACTCTGTACAGCCAAGTGCTGTCTCGCCTGAGATGTGTCCCTAAAGGGGAGAAAGGGAAGATTCTGCCTGTTGAATGAACCCAGAAGCCAGCAATGTCCTCCTAAGTTGTCTACAATGGTGTTTTGTCTGAATTCCTTCTCTTCTAGGACATTTTTATAGGATTTTTTTCTCCTTTCATGTAGGCTTGTTTAGCAAAAAAGAAAACCAACCAAACTACACACATTAGTTTAAGAACAGATAGATTAGTTTACCAAAAGGACTTCATGTGTGCTTGTTCTAAGATTTTCCAGTTTAGCTTTGCTTGGTGTGAATTGTTTTGCGTGATCCTTGCTTCACTGAAGCCACAACGACCACTTTTTATCTATCCCAATAGTATGTACTGGGAGCTCCCTTGTATCCACCGGGTGTTTCATGTAAATTGTTTTGAGTTATGGTGTAGCAAGATAAAAAGTTGTTCATCATGGCGCAACAAACTGGAAATTTGCCAAATGGGGGAAAAAAGCTGAAGGTAGTCCAGAAGTCACTGTGAAGAATCTAAAGCTGAAATAAGGAAGTAGGTGTTCATACAGCACCATGAGATGCACCACGTATGCCCAAAGAGACACCAGCATACATTAAAAAGCTCTTGAAAAAATAATGAATATGTACATCATTTCTGGTAAAAATGTTGCATGTCTTTACTGTTTAAATGTTGAACCTGAACTCCAAGAGTTTCAAGCATGCTTTATCTGCCAAGTTGCCCGGTATGTGTCCTGAATTAAAAGGAATGCCTGCTTTTTGACACCACATTTGAGTTAGAGTGTTTTCTTCCCAGACTTTCTGATGATCCTTTCTGGTACCTTATTGTCACTTTGTGCCTTCAGGACCTTGTTGTAGCGTCCTGCCCATAAAGAGTGAGAAGGGCTGACCAGATTCACAAATACCAGCAGACATCACAGTCTTGAACTGACAAACAGCAATGAAGATTGCAGAGAAAATGATGACCTGAGGCCTCTTTCAGGCATTCTTTTATGCATGCTAGGTTTGCAGGTGCACCATCCCAAGGTTGTAAGCAAATAAGTCTGCAATATCAGGTTTCTCAAAAGTGACTCGTCGTCCATATCTTTGTTGTGATTGATTAAATGGAAAGCTGCTGGCTCAGGGTGACAACCCTGCAGGCTCCCAGTTCCATGGTACCACCAAATTCCCATCTCTACATGTTTATCTCAGTTTGGCTAAGTGGTTTTCACTCTGCTCTACAATTGTAACACTTACAGTCAGCACATCACATTCTCCTGGTGTTAGTAACATCGAAATTTGCCAGTTTATGTTGTTTAGAACAGACTCCCTGCATATTCACCTCATTCCACCATGGAAGTTTTCTCCTCTCTGTACTTTCTCTTAAGAGAAGAGTGACTGCAGTCACTCAATCTTCTTAACACTCAGAAGAAAATGGGGAGGTCGAATGCAGTCTTATGAAGATCACAGCTCAACAGGTTCTTGGGCTGCTCACTTTTGGTAGAGTAAGATGATTGGATCAGACTCATAGCACTGCCCAAGCTGCAGAAAGCAAAGACAAGAAATGGCTGTAAGTGAAGGTCAGGTTCAAGGCCATCAACAGGACCAGAAGGTACACAAGTTGAATGGATGAAGCAAGGTCTGTGGGTACTGAGTACTAGCAGGTGAAGTTGTCAAGCCACTATCCATCATATTTGAAAGGTCATGGCAGACTGATGAAGTTCTCATTGACTGGAAAAGGGGAAACATAACCTCCATTTTCAAGAAGGAAATAAAAAAGAAGATCCAGGGAACAACAGGCCAGTCAGTGTCACCTCTGTGCCTGGAAGCATCATGGAGATGCCCTTGAAAGCCCTACTAAAGCACACAAGAAATAAAGATGAAGTGATTGGTGGTGTCCAGCGTGGCTTCACCAAGGGTAAGTCATGCCTGACAAATTTAGAGGCCTTTTAGGATGGAGTTACAGCATCAGTGGATAAAAGGACAACAGACATCATGTACCTGTACTTGTGTAAAGTGTTTGACACTGTCCCACATGACATCCTGGTTGCAGATGATACCAAGCTGAGTGGTGCAGCTGACATGGTAAGAGGGAAGGGATGCCATCCAGAGGGACCTGGGCAGGATGGACAGGGGAGCCCATGTCAACCTCACAAAGCACAACAAGGTCAAATGCAAGGTCCTGCACCTGCTTTGGGGCAATCCCAAGCATAGATACAGACGAGGAGGAGGATGGCTTGAGAGCAGCCATGAGGAGAAGGATTTGGGGATGTCACACAAGCCAGCAATGTGCACTTTCAGCCCAGAAGACCTACATTTATCCTGAGTTACACCAAGAGAAGCTTGGGTGACTCAGCATGTCGAGGGAGGTGATTCTGCCCTCTACTCTGCCACAACCCCTTAAGTCTAAGGGGTCTCTCTGTCCTTGATGGGGATTTCTGTTTAATGTAGTAACTGTCAAGAAGTCAGACAAAAATATGAGCTTGTGAAGTGGGCTCACATGAACCTTATGAGATTCAACAGGATCAAGTGCAAGGTGTTGCAACCTGCTCACAGCCATCCCAGAATTGTGTACAGACCGAGCAAAGAACTCACTGAGAGCAGCTCTGCACAGAGACAGCCAAGGAAAGCTTGGATGGGCCCTGGGCAACCTGATCCAGTTTCTGATTTAGTGGGATGCAAAACTGCCCACACTGGGGATCTGGAGCTCAACGAGCTTTAAGGCCCCTTCCAACCTAAGACATGTTTCAGTGAGATGTAATGCGCGCATGAGGACGTGTTTGAAACAGAAACCTGTTGCTGCACTTTGGATCTAGGTGGGTAGGGAAATCAAACCTTCAGGTATCTCCTACAATCTGTTGGACCCAAGGGCAATGATTTGCTATGGGTAAAAGTTCAGTCTTTCATACTAAACAACTTCAGTGAGCAAATTACTGAAGTCTACTCTCTATGGAAAATGGAAATATTTGCGTTCACATGAGAACAGCAAAGTGACAGAGACCCCTCAGTTCTGCAATACACACTGAATTTAAAATGGATCATTTGGATCTTGGTATCCAGGTAAGGAATGAAGGCCTGGCTGAATCAGTGTGGGACATGATTTATATTTCCCAGGGAATGATTTCAGCCCTGGATTAAAACGGCTTCTTTCTCGGCTGGATCAATGGGAATGCTCTTTGTCTTCTGCATGTGGCATTTTAAACAGTTTGCTAAAAGTTGTCTGAGGTCCTTTCTTTCTACTGCCTTCATGTAGATATTAAGACAGTCTGATTCTTAAGAATGGATGAGGCATAAGTTTAATCTATGATGACAGTTCGACATCAGAAGTTACCAGTTAGCAACTTTTATTAAAGTCTGCAAAATGCTCATTTATTTGCTGAGTTGCTTGAAAGAGAGTTTCCCAAAACTCTTCTTATGACTGGGGTTGTGTTGAGGTCTGAAATACGCTGATTCTGAAATACATTTTCACATACGGGAGAAATTTACTTTGCTCTTAGTGTGTCAGAAATATAGACTTTTCATTTTCCATTTTCTTTTTCTTTCTCTGTTTTTTTTTTTTTTCTTTTTCTTTCTGTTTTTTTTTTCTTTTTCTTTTTCTTTTCCATTTTCTTTTTCTTTCTTTTTTTTCTTCTTCTCTTTTTCTTTTTCTTTTTCTTTTTCTTTTTCTTTTTCTTTTTCTTTTTCTTTTTCTTTTTCTTTTTCTTTTTCTTTTCTTTTTCTTTCTCTTTCTCTTTCTCTTTCTCTTTTTCTCTTTTTCTCTTTTTCCTTTTCCTTTTCCTTTTCCTTTTCCTTTTCCTTTTCCTTTTCCTTTTTCTTTTTCCTTACCTCTTTATTTTCCTTTTTCTTTTCCTTTTTCTTTACTTTACTTCACTTTAATAAAGAAAGATGCATGAAGTTACAGCTGCAGTTTTTTATCCTTTTGATTCTTTCTTCTTTCCTTCTGTCAAGATCTCAGTAAAGCTAAATCTACTGCCTAGTGACTAGTAGGTCAATAGGAAGAGCAGTGTATGAATGCAGTTACAATCCCTGGCATGACATTCTGTGCTTGCAATTTCTCGCTTCCATTTAAACTCTTTAAGCTCTTTACTCTTCATGATTCCCCTTTTTTAAAAAAATTATTTGTTTATTTATCCATTTATTTTTGTTAGAAAATAAAAATGCATGTTTGCCTTCACAAGTGAATGCTATGCATGTTCTTCATGCTTATCTCCATGTACACAGTGTTACTACTATGCCCTAGAGAAATCAGTCCCTTCCTGTGCGGAGATAGGAGAGGCTGTACTGGAGTAGTTTGGATTGGATTAAATTTATTTCAGAGGTTGTATGGAAACCTCTGCTTGGGGAAAAGCAATTATATGTTATGTTAAAAATATATGAAGATTGAAAAATGTAGAGAGACTCTTTAAGTTTACAGTTCTAGAATTTGCATGTCTATATATTCCCATTTTTCTTTAGAGTAACCTGATAAGTTACATTTCATTTTTCCTATTTATTTCTCTCCAAGGAGTTCTATCTTATTAGTTAGGTAATAGAAACTACTTTTATTATGCATACATGCCAGGAATAATCATTTGAACTCCAACATGTGGCACTTAGGTCAGGAATTTTCCAAGCTGAATGCATGGTTCCATGGCAAACACATCTGTTAGTGCTAAAATGCTACTCTATTCAAAAGGGAAAACGATGGGAAAACTGTTCCTTAGTCTTTTGATATTTTTAATATTCATGCCTTCCTCTGCAAAGAAAATACAATGTCTTATTATTTTTCATTACTACATTATTTTTCAGTGAGTAAGAGAATTCACATATGGAATTAGAGTGCAGATTAAATGTTTTCTAGTGAGACTTAGAAATGAAGGCACATTTCATGTGACAAGTTTGCCTTAAAATTTCCCCTGCCTGAAGGTAACAACCATACATCCTCCGGTGTCTGTATTTATTCTGTCTTCATCTACAAAAAATGACTAGAGTTTTCCTAAACACAAGGTGTCTTTTAGACCCTTCGGGGATAAGACTGTAAAACACCCTTCTGATCCATTCTCATGTCTTTCTAAGTCTTTCAGAAATACCTCTCTCGGTCTCTGCAGGACAAGTGGAAGTCTTAGAATCTAAGCATAAGTCACAGACTTCCATTCTAAACAACATATTCATTCATTTTCCTTATTTTTCTTCCATGAAACATAAGCATTTTAAAGGGTTTATCTTTGTATCACTCCACGTACTTTGATATCTATATGAACATACGCCTTTCATTCCCAATTCGGTCTTCTAATTTTCTGTTCCATACTTGGAAAGATTACAGGCATGTGGTAAGATTTGGCCGTGGTTATTGAAGGCATCCAAACCTGTGTGGTGATGGCTTCCAGATTTCAGCACACAGTGAATCTTCACATTATAATTTTCCTACAGATAGTTCATTTGATCAAAGGTAAGTCTGGGTTTTCTTCTAATTTCATTTAAATGGTACTATCATTTCCAAAGCTGATGGGTTGTTCTAGAACTTGAAAACAAAACAAACAAACAAACAAAGAAAACAAAACAGGAAATGAAAGAAATGAAGAAATTTATTTGTGTGTTTTCATATAGCATTATACATAAATTTACTGATTTCTGAGATTGTTTCTTCAGGGAGCTTTCTTTTTTCCTTTGCTTCAACTTCTTTTCTCAGCTCAGCTGGTCCTGTCACTTAATTGGGCTCAGAAACCTAGATTTCTTTGGGTATTGTCCACTTCTGAGTGATGGAGTAGGAGAGTAAAATCTGCAAAGGTCTGCTAGAATATTTTCCAATAAAAATCAAAATTAACTATGCCTAATTTTCATAAATGACCATATTTCAACAAGTATTTGATATGAAATCTCTTTCCTGTTGTGTGTTTCATCTATAAAGGAAGGTACACAAGTGAAAATATGATTGGCATCTGATATTAGGTAGGCATAAGCTTGCCTTTTGAATTAAAGCTTTACATAACGAGCCTATCTTTCTTCATGGTAGTATGCCATTTCTGCCTCAGAATCTGTCTGCAAATTAAGCACAGTTTTTCCAATAACCCTTCCCTGAGGTTACCCTGCATTCTGAGTGGGTAAGTGATGGTGTTGAACAACAGCAGAGGACAGAAAAGTCTTCTTCCACTTACAAAACTGACATAGAATCATAGAACGGCTTGGGTTGGAAGGGATCTTAAAGCCCTTCCAGTTCCAACTCTCTGCCATGGACTTGTTGTCATCTAGATCAGACTTGTTGTACTAGATCAGGAGGGCCATCCCAAACCGTCATCAAGTAACTCCACAATTTCTGTGGGCAGCACCTCACCACCATCTCAGTGAAAAATTTCCCCTTGATGTCTAATTGAAATCTCACATCTTTCAGAATAACTAGTCCTATCACTATCAGACTGTGTAAAAAGTCACTCTCCCTTCTGTTTATAAGCTCCCTTTATGTGCTGGAAAACTGCAATGAAGTCACAAACGAGCTTTTTCTTTTCCAGACTTAACAAGACCATCCCTCTCAGCCTCTTTTCATAAGAGGTGCTCCAGTCCTCTGAGCATCTCTGTGGCCCTTTTCCAGACTTCTTCCAACAGCTCCACATCTTTGTCATGGTGGGGGTCCCAGGTTTGAGCACAGTACACCTTATGAGGCCTCACATAGTAGAGGGGGACAATCCCCACCCTGCTGCTACCCCTCTGTCAGTGCAGCACACAATGTCTTTTGGGCTACAAGTGCACATTGCCGGCTTCTTATCCACCAGAATCCCCAAGTCCTTACTGTGATGGGATTTCTTCCTCTCCATTTGTCTGATCTCATCAGCGCCCGATTTCAAAGTAGGAAATTATTGAAATAATTCTTGAGATAACATCCTGATCCACAGCATTTCCTGATACACTGATTTCTATCAGAACGGAAGACCTACATTCACTAACTGACATTACTGCTTCCTGTACAAAATGCTAATGAGAACATCTGTGGCTGGCAAGACTTACATCTACATCTTCTTTCAGGTCAGTTAAGAATTATACCTCCTTACGATCCTGTGCTTGGAGTTGTTGGAATGGGAGTCACCCTGCCCTGCCAGCTGGAAGCCAAGACAATCTCAGAGGGAGTACTTGTTCAGTGGACATTAGTTGGAAATTCTGTAGACTATGAAGTGGCTACCTATGATGGAAAAAATGCACAGAATCCAGTAAAGGAGAATAAGGCATACCTGGGCCGTACAAATTTTTTTCTGAGTGAAGTTACTAAGGGGAACTTATCCCTTCACCTGAAAAATGTCATGGTCTCTGATAAAGGGAAATACATCTGCAGTGTCTTTTTGGAGAATCAGTACAATGAAGTGGTGGTTGACCTGAATGTGGCAGGTGAGTGGAATGTCTTTTCCAAGGTTCCGAAACCTTCCAAAAAGGTGCTTTTGACTTCTTACTCAGTGCAGTTGTGTATCTTTGGTAAGGACGATGGGGCTCTGTTAGCCATGAGGAAGACCAGCCTCCACTCTGGTAGTCTTCCTTCATTGACATCTGGACACTAAAAATATCTTTTTAACATTCTCTTACATGTGGGTATGAAAATATGTAAAGGGAGTAGGGCTGAATGCTGCAATAAAGCAAACCTATTTATGTAGAAGTGAGGCAATTGTAGGCTAGCTGAGAGGGTATTTTGTGTTTCAACCCATTTTTGTTGCCCCATCTTACACATCACTTTTCTTGTCCAGTATTCCAGCTGTAGTCTCATAATAGTGTCATCCAAATCTATTTCAACAGCAAAGTTTCTGCTAGTCTGTACTGTGTCGTGATTACTCCTTTTCATTTTTATTTCAAATTATTTATGAAGGTATCAAAAATGTCTGAAAAAAAATTTCTTTATCAGTACAGGAAGAGACATGGTGCATACAGGCATCTCCATCTGTTCAACTCACGCAGTGTGTTTATGGACAAATCTGAGGAAGACCTTTCCAACATGGGCTGCTCAGTCAGAATATCTCATTGCCTGTTTGTTTCTTTCCTTCTCTACAGCTCAAGGCAAGGACTCTGCAGTTCATATGGATGGCCATGTGGATCAGGGCATTGGCGTCACCTGCAAGTCCCAGGGATGGTTTCCACAGCCTGAGGTAATTTGGCTGGACAGCAAAGGACAGATACGGAAGGAGAAAGTGGTCACACAAAGACTGCAGACTTCTTCAGGCCTTTTTGATGTTGTCAGTTCCATGGCCCTAGAACCAGGAACTGACATGGAAGTCTCCTGCAGAATAGTCAATGATATCCTCAACACAGCATGTGAATCACGAGTCCTGGTTTCAGGTAAGTGAACTCCAGGGCTGATATTTATGAGAACCAGTTTGCTGGCTGCTGTCCTTCATCTCTCCATTTTTCCCAGAGAGATTCTGGATATCCAGAAAAGACATAAATGGCAAGTGCTGAGATGGATAACGTTATAAGAATTAAAATTTCATATTACTCATTAAGTTCAGAATTCATCTTATCAAGAAATATTAGTCAATTCTCATTTATCATCACACGGGAGCACTGAAATGATTTGGAAAGGGAATGATTTAGAAGTGCCTGTAGGAAATGGTGAAGGTCTGCTCTCATCCTCTTTCTCTCCTTGACAACAGCATGATGACTCTGCACAACAGCAGGTGCCACCCTCCCATTTGGATCTTAATTTCAAAAGTAAAGCAGAAGAATCCTTTTTTTTCCATCTGAAATAGCACTATAGACAGTTTTTCGTTCCCAAAAACTTCATCTATAAGGACAATAATTAAAATAATGTCCTCAGATGGATCACTCAACACATACTTCTTACAGAAAGGTGGCATCTCACAATATATGAGATGCTCTGTCAATTTCACTATCTGACAATGCACCGTGGAGAATGGGAGGGCAGCCATAACTGCCACAGATGGTAAAAAGAGTCCCAACGTGATACAGTACAGCAAAAATTACAGCATTAAATTCACATGCCTTAGACACTGGCCATGTCCTAGACTTTTTTTCACAAACATTCATTGAAAGGAACACTGTTTATATTTTACAGAGGTCTTCTTTCCATCCACTTCACCTTGGATGACCGCATTCCTTGTAATTACGTTTTGTGCTGTGGCTGTTATCGCTGCTGCAGGCTACAAGCTGAAGAGTAAGTATTTACACCAACAACAGCTGATATGGAAGTCGTAACCACACTGCAAAGTGCAGTTAATGGAAAATGAAGTGCCATTTCAATATCAGTGTGAGAAAGAAAGAGACAGGAATGAGATGGAGAGAGGAAAAAAGTGATAGGTGTGTGAGAGTGATATATGTGTGAATGCACAAAACATCCTTAACAAGGAGGTTGTTTGTGAGATACAATTTTAAGTGATCACAAATGATAAATAGGCACTGAATATGCGCCTCATCTTTAGAACAGTGCTTTTTTGAAAATAAAACTCATATTGGAATTATACTATGATTATTTAAACAGATTTTTTTTTTTTCCTTGGGAAAATAATTAAAATTCTTCTTCCTTTTCCAGTTCATTATACAAGAAAACAAGAAGAAGGTGAGTAACAAGGGGGCTAAGTGAACCCACACAATCCTACTTTGGGACAATAGCCTCAATTTTTTGAGCTAACAACAGTCTCAGAAGCATTTTCATAGATTACTGTTCTGATAAAAATGCAGGAACAATCAATACTGAGACATTTCAGTTTTGTAATGCACCAAGGTGCATTGCCTGTTTTTTCTCATCAGCTACAAGTACCACCACTGCTGCCTCAGCAGGGAGTTGGGCTTCCACCACTCCCAGGCAGAGCTAGTTGTCAACACAGACAAACTCTTCTCTCTAGTGTCACAATAAAGCCAAAAGTTTCTGTAGCTTTAGAGGCAAAAGCAAACTGTGTTTGTTCAACAGGTCCCAGAAACAAGAAGTTGTTGCATATTGATGTGTCAACACCAAACAATGAATCCAATATGAATATGTATTATAAATAAGACTGCCTTCTTGCGTAAGGAAGTTCCTTCTGCCCACAGTATTTCTCTAAACAGGAGATAATTGCAGGGATTCTTTTGTGAATGCCTGAGAATATTCCTGTTCCAGTAGCTCATGTTTCTTCTAGTATTTTTAAGATGCTCTTCTACTAAAAATACTCCCCTGTTATAATGATTTAGTTGTTGTTCTGCAGAACTCATGGGCTCAACTTCCACTGAGCATTTCAGATTATTCTATTCTGGTTGGGTTTTTTTTGTTTGTTTGTTTGTTTTGAGATGGTGAATATTTAATTGAATAATTAATATGACAATTTTTGTTGTCTGCTGTTTTATTCTTAGAAACAACGATGGACGAGCTCAAAAAGAGTAAATACTCCTTTTCTCCTATTGTTAAATGTGATCACAGAGAGAATAGATTTCAACTCTATGAGGAAATCATTACTGGGGAGAAGAGCTGGTGGGAGGAGGGGTGTGTGGATTTCCTACTTGAAATCTAAGGGACATGACAGGTAACTAGATGAGATTGAGATATTCAACAGGTAGGTGCCTTAAAGAGGCTGTATGGATATCATTTCATTCCTCTTACTGGTTGTGAAGTTGTGTGTTGAGTTACCAGGTTGTCATTTGGCTTCTTAATTGCCATGCAGCATATCCTTCTTTTGCTCACCAGGTAGATTGGAATAATCACAGTTGGTCCTATGTAAACAGATCATGCAGGAATTAGCATTCAGAACAACAAGTAATGTCTGTTTTACAATTTGATACTGTAACAGATGCAATGATAATCAGATGTTATCTCTTTCAGACAAAGAGGATTTGGAGAAAGACTTAGGTAAGAAGATGGTTTTGAGAGTACTTCAACTACTTCTGGTCAGCAAGCTATTTACATCCCCAAAAGAGCAAATGAGATGTAGAACATTTTGATATGAATTTCTTCTGGATGTGACTGTTTCTTTTATCAAATGTTGTTGTGACCTGCGCTGATGGTTCATCACAAATCCAAAGATTCAAAATATCATTATGATCCATTTTCCATGAATGTTTTGGAGCTTTTGTTATTGAGTGCCATGGCATAAATTTTAAAGCATAGCTGATCATCCTTTGAACTTTTTTTTAAAAAGCAACTGTTCAAGTCAGTAATGTTTGCTTTTTCTTTTCTTTTTCCTTTGGTATTTTCTGTCTGCTGGTCAACTTAGACTCAGAGAAGAGGACATGTGATGCAGGTAAGGAAATACTGCAAACAAGATAGTTTTGATGCATTCTTAGAAGTAAAAGGGAAAGAAACTCAGCTATTTCAGTAAAAATCAAGGCAGCTTGTTTCTAGATAAATGGTTAATGCATACATTAAATGGCTGTGAACATTATTATACAGCATGGCTATGCTTCTACAAGCCCTGAGATACTTTCTTTCCTCTCTGTAATCCACCTGCCTTGAGTTTTGCTGGCCATACAAGAATTTCTTGAAGCTCTAGTTTATGGCTCCTGTGCTTTCTCCCTTCTTGGTCAAACCTTTAACATATTATTGACAATATTTGCCTGGTAAATTTTAAAGGAAACTTCATTTCAGTGTTGAATTCTCAATGTGTGAATTATCTGCATCATACTCAACTCTGAATCCTCATCTCCTCGAGATTTCTTCTCACTTACTAATGCCGTTATTTTGCAGGATACTCTGGAATGAAACAGTGGCTTGGTAAGATAACAACTATAAATCTTACTCTTGTGAACCTTACAAAAAAATAAAGTACTCAGACCAGTGTGAGGAAGCCACACCTGAGCATGAACAGACAGCACCAACCTCATCATAGTTCAGATCTCTTTCCTCCTTCAATACAGATGTCAAAGAGGCATGCTGTAAGATTTTCCTGAACTGTGAATAATCCTTCTTGCCAGAAGCTGCTATACCTAAAGCTAGGACAGATCTACAGGCAACCATAACGTGCTATGAATTGTTTCATTACAAAAAGATCTGGTGGTACTGGTGCATAGAAAGCTGGACATGAGCCAGCACTGTGCCCACACAGCCCAAAAAGCCAACTGTATCCTGGGCTGTAGCAAAAGATGCACCTCAGGGGAGCTGATCATTTCCCTCTACCCTGCGCTGCTGAGGCCTCACCTGAGGTACTGCGTTCAGATGTGGAGCCTCTCCTGCACTAATTCAAAACATGCTAGTATTTACATGTTGTGTAGCTTGATGTCCTGTGGTCTGGGTTTGTCCAGCTTTGAAAAACTGAACCACAACACAGACAAATCTCATATAAAGATTATCGGTGTCAGTAACTAGAACATCCTTTCAACAAAATACGTTTTAATAACTAGAATGTATTTTTCTTGCAGACATACTAGAATGTGAATTGGGTAAGTGGTTTTAAAGTTTTGTTTTTCTTGGAATACGTGCTGCTGCTTTACGTAAAGTCAACCCTTGGGATGAATTTCAGCGATGGCAATAACTGCACAACATAAGGCAACAGAAGACAGGCTGACAGTTGTGTAATCACACAACAGATTCACAAAACTCTTTCCTCTCTTTTTCCTCTGCAGATTTCTGGAAAGCTCAGGACAAAGCAGGTAAGCAGACAGAAGAAAGGGTAGGAAAATGGTGTATTTCTCTGTCCAAGTTCTCTGGAAATGACAGTGACATGATCTTAGAGGTTGGCCAGCTGAGCTGGAGTCACAGGAATAAGCCTTCACTTTAAATGGATAAAACAAAATGAGGCTTGGAGGTGACCATTGGAAACACCGAGAAAAGAAGTTGCAGAATTGTGTTCATGTAAGGACTGAATGTATAATAATAATAGCAATAATAATAATAATAGCAATAATAATAATGATCATAGAATCATGGATTATGGAATTGCTCAGGTTAGAAAAGACCATCAAGTTCAAACGCAGCCTAACCAAGCTACCTGAACTCTAGCAACACTCCTCTAAATCATGTCCCTGAGCACCACATCCAAACAGTTTTTAAAGACATCCTGGGATGGTGACTCAACCACCTCCCTGACATAATGGAAAAGTGAGAGAGAGTAATTAATTATAAAGCATGTGAAAGACAGTGAGAATCACCTGGATTTGTCCACAAGAGAGACATCATGGCTATGACAGCTCCAAGGGACCCGTCGGTTCCTACATGTCTGTTTCTTGCCCTGTTTGGGGAAAACATTTCAATTCCTTGTCAAATCATGCCCAGGTTACTGAAGCCCTGAAATGCTTCAACCCATTTCCCACTCCAAAGATATGTTCCTGAAACACTTTGCTCACTGGGTCATTGTCATCTTCCCCTCCAGTTCCCTTTACTGTGAATTCTGAATGCCAGCTCCTCAAGATCCAAGTGCCAGGAGCTCCAGATGTTGAAAGCAATGCAACTGAACCTGCTGACCTGAGCAGCCCCTCCACAATCCCTGTCCTGGTGGCAAAGGAAGGGTTTGCATCTGGGAAACACTGCTGGGGAGTGGATGTGGGCCAGCAGCAGGACTGGGTGCTGGGGGTCATGAGGCACAAAGGGAAACAAGAGGAGCAAGGGGTACTTGCAAGAGGGGACTTCTGGGCTCTGCAGAAAACCAGGGGAGAGGTTTTCTCTATCAAAGGAAACAACAGGCCAGAGAAGAAGGAAATGAATGACGCAATGATTGGTGTGCTTCTGGATTTGGAGGAAGCACAAGTCTACTTTTATGATGCAAAGAACAGAAGCAAAGCATTGAGAATATCTATAAGCCTTGGAAAGGAATCTGCAGAAGTGTTTCACCCTTTTCTATCGAAAGGGGAATTGAGATTCATGCCTGTTTGTCATCAAAATATTCCTGTTCCATTAACGAATCCATAAATTGCACAGAGAACTGTCTAGGAAAGGACAGTTCAGTCAAAGGTAAAAGGGAGAAATCACGAACAAACATCAGCATAATGTAAAACAAAATGAGAAAGAAAGACGTAGATAAGAAAGGCACAAAATTTGAGAGAGGACAAAAGAACCAGTTAGGATTATTAGGTTGGAGTCATATTCAGAAAACCCTGGTTAGTTGATTGAGTTCTTGTTATTGAGTAAGAAAGTCTCAAGTTTACAAAACATATTCAGTTCCCAGAAGAGACAGCTGTAATTTAGGAGGTGCTATATAATCTGTCTTTCCACCACTTTGCTGCGGGAGGAGTTGCATCCATGCTCATTTCCAATTTGCTTAATTGGAATCCATCCAATTAAGCAAGCCCAATTCCACTATAATTGATCAAGAAACTAAATAAATGTTATCTGATGGAAAAAACATATTTAAACATATTTTCTTTCTTAAGCACATTAGAACATTTACGGTTAGATACAGTGATGTATGAGCTATGGTGTCAGCCAGCGGAGTGAAGGGTCCTACTGTCAGCAGGTAGATGGCCTTGTGGGCTCTTAGCCTGGGATGGTGCCTATGGGGATTGTTGTGTGTGGACTGGGTGCAACTACTGGAGTTAAGCCAAGTGTGTCGGCCACAGATGTGGGGTCAGCTACAGGAGTGAGTGAGGGTCCTGGTATCACGGTTGGAGAGTGGTCTCCAGGACCTGGGAGGGCACCACGGTCTATGAACCCAGAGTGCCAGACACTTGGCAGATCAGTGAGTGGTCTGGGGGTCTGCTAGTGGAGTCAGGCCGAGCTGTAGGCTGTAGAACCGCTACTGAAGTGAGCAGGGAGGGCCCTGACATGATGTACTGGAGCAAGTGGGGGTCTTCTACTCCCAGTCATAGGAAGAGACTAGTCTGTTCTCCCAGATACTGGTGGGACTGGTGTGAGTGAGACAAGTGTCTCCACCCCAGAGGCAGAAGTAGGGCACTGGGTTACAGCCCATGAGCCTGGTGTCACCTGCTGAGTGCATCAAGTATGTGCATCTTCACCAAACAGATGTGCGTGGGATAAGCATGTGTATTGACTCGTAAAGTTTAAGCTGAAACAGCCTGTAAGAAGTGGGAATCCTGAAGTCTGAGTCAGGTGATTGGTTGGTGGGTTTGTGCTGGTACGCCCAGGGGAACTTGCAAACATGGTGTGCTCGAGAGACAAGTCTAAGCGTGCATGTTGCAAGAGAACTTCAAGATGGGCTACACGGCAAAGCAGACAACCCTTAATTCCCCCAACATATGGGAATCAAATCTCTCCTTGCTGGGCACCTTTCTGGTAACTGTTATGCTCTTTCCAACTTCAGACACTTCCAGGATGATCTGTATCAAAGGTGTCATTAAATGCAATAAGGTAATTTGTTAAGTACTAAATAACAGGAGGGCTACTGCTTTTATGCTTTCTATTGGTTGACCCTCTGCATTTATTCCCCTGCCTTGTTATGATCTTCACTCCGATAGGTCCTAGGAAATTTCTTTGCCCAGGATGTCTCCATCTTCTAGCAACCTAAGTTTCCCTTTTCCCTTGTCTCTCACCTGCTGTGTACTGAGGGTCACCAGCATGCAACAAATGCAGAGCATCTGGCAGAGGGTGTCTCTTGATCAATGACATGAAACATCAAGGAAGAATGTAATGAAGCCTTGCACTTAATCGTTGAAATTGTACAGTGGCAAGCAGAGAATAAGAGTCACACTTTGGATCACAGCTGCTCTGCACAAGAAGAGAGGAGAGAAGGCCGAGCATTCATGACTGTTCCGGGCAGCAGCTGCTGCCAGCCATAAGGATAAGGGATATCAGGGCAACTGACATGCCACTTCCGATTCAATCACTGAATTGAACACATTCCTGACACTCTCAATGGAAATCCAGACTGTAGTTTGTTCTGTTCATTATACAGACAGCAGTATGTTCACTGGCTGCGTAGAGTTTCTTGAATATCCTGTAATTGTGATAGTCTGATATATTGAACATAACAAGACTTCAGTGCCAAAACTGGGATCACTCAGTGTTTAAGTCAAGCTGCCCTCAGCTCCTCTGATTTTTGTGGACAAGCTAGAATACAAAGGAATTTATATTCTCCCCAACTTCTTTAAGGCAACACTAGCACATTAGGATCAGGTGTTCTAACAGCAGTAGACACCAACAGAGTGAAGTAAAGATATTCTTGCTCTGGCAGAGGCTATTCTGAAAACTGTGTGAAGGAGACTGTGCATGCATCCTAAAATAGGTTCTTGAGCATGTATCCATTCTCTCCTGAGGAGAGAAAAAGATGAAATCCATGAATCTAGAAATAGCAGGAAGGGCAGGAGAGGTCAACAACAAATTCACTGACAGGTAAACTTAGAAATCTTCATCTTCATGTGTGAATTCAGTCTGTACTCACTAAAATTGAGAGGATATTAGTACCTTGTAAATTCTCCTGAATACTTTTCAGACCAAATACCAAAATGAGGATGGCTGGAACATATTCCACACCATTTCCAAGTGAAAGGACTTTCTGCAGAAAGAAACACTGATGGAAAGTCAGTCAGGTCGTTTTCAGTAGGCACTTTGTTTTTGCAACTGATATACAAGGATCTGCCATGACTGGTGATCATCTAGTATCAGAAGTCAGAGGTATTCTTAAGCAGCGTGGTTTCAGCTCATCAGAAAGCTCTCCCACACTAGGACACTAGCCAACTTTTGCACATAAATGTCATGAATATTTCCTGTGATTATCAGTGTACAGAAAAAGAATTCATGCTCTTCCTCACATCTGATGGAATGATCTCTACACAGCCATACACGCATAAAACAGTTCCTGTGCTTAGAAAACACTTGTGTAGGTTCATAGAAACACCTGGAGACTCTCTCTACCTATTGACTAGTGGCCTGAAGTGAGAGTTTTCCTGCAGAAATGGCTCACGGAAGACTTAGCAAGCAATGGTGAAAGAATTTTATATTTCAATTTGGTGGCACAAAGCATGGGGCTGAATATAGTGTACTCGGACCTCAGACTCACTTTTCAGTCATTAATTAACTGTACATTTTCACTTCAATCATTCACTTGTCATCATCATCAAACCCCCATGCAATTCTTAGAGGCTCAGTGTCAGAATTGGTTGCAGATGAACCTGTTGAGAAGAAGGGAAAAAGCTTCACATTCTGGCTGTCATAATTAACAAAGCTAAAAGCATACATCATTTTTTTCTGATGAACATTGAAGAATGACAACTTCTTGGATGAGATGTCCAGGAAGATCCCAATCTTCTGTGGTCTGCCACTCACAGTTAAACGGGTCCAGGGATCTGAGTGGGCCCAATACTCTTGCCCATCTGCTAACCCTATGACCCAGAAACCATTCTCTGGGGACAGAGCCACTGTCTCTTTCCGAGTCACAGTCTCCTGGGCAACACCCAAGTTCCAGTTGCGCTTCTTTCCAACATCCACTTCCCAGTAATGTCTCCCCGATGTGTAACCTTCTTTTGCCAACAGAAAAGTGTGGGAATCAAATCTCTCCTCCTTGCTGGGCACTTTTCCGATCACACCGGTGTCTGTTACACTCTTCCCATCTTCAGACACTTGCAGTCTAGGATGAGCTGTGTCAGCATCGAGGGTGACATCAACTGCAATAACAAGGCAACTTCTTAAGTACTGAATAACAAGAGGTCGATTGCTTTGAGACTTCCTATTGGTTGATCCTATGAATATGTATTTATTCCCCTGCCTTGCCTTGATCTCCACTCTGACAGGCCCAAGGAAATTTTATGCCCAGGATGCCACCAACTTCTGGCAACCCAAGTCATCTCCCTTCACCTTTGTGTCTCATCTGTGACATACTGAAGGACACCAGCATGCAACAATGGCATGCAACACAAAGGAAAAGTGTAAGGAGATTATAAGCTTTTAGTTAAGGAATCGTTCAACAGTAAGGAAAAGACCAGACAATAAGAGCCCTGCTTTGGAACACAACTCCTCTTTGAACAAAACCAGAATCACAAAATCTTCTTGCAAGGGAATGAGGAATAATTCCATTCACCAACGCTGCATGATAAATTCAGCAGGTTTGTGTGCACTTCGCAGTAGTATTGCTCTAGATGAACACCCTGAAACAAACCACCTTCTTATACAGATCAAACCTCTAATTTCATAGAAGAAACAATTCTGTTATATATCCCAGAAGAACAGAAATCACTGAAACATTTATAGGCCAGCAAATGGATAACTAAAGGATTCAAAATCAGTTCTTTCTCTTGTGCTGTTACTTACAGAACAAGAGGCCTGAGAACAAATGGTTACTCAAGAGCTATATCAAAGCTTTAAGAGGTGGGATTCAGAATGTATTTTACTTACCTTTATGTCTTTGTGCACGCAATAACTCTACAGGAAACAAAAAAAGGAAGAAAAATGTTTTCAGGAAATCTAGTCTCCAGTGACTTAACAGCCCACGCTACTGGCAGACCATCAAGTACTTCTGCTATTGCTTGCCTGTTCTGCACGTAAGAAGGCCATTTTATGATTATCATCTTCCATGACAAAGGACAAGAATATTTGAAACCAGGAAAGCATCAGCTGATTACACAGAAGTGTGTTATACTTAAACAGTAAGTTCAAAACTTCCATGAGATCCCACACAACTAAAAGGAATAGATAAAACCTACTGTGTCTGTGACAGAGCCCAGAGAGTCTACTTCTCTGGAGATACTCAAAAGCCACAAGGACGTTTTTCTGTGCAACCTATAATAGGAAACCTGCTTTAGCAAGAGGACTGAGTGACCTAGAGGTGTCCTTTGTAAGCCACACAGTTCTGTGATTCTGAGATCAGTTTTGAAAATTATCAGAAGCTGCAGGAGAGAACAGCCCAGGAGATAAGGAGAAACACATCCAGGTGAAGTCCTCCCTTCAATCTTGGCTTTGCAACATGAGCACTCAAGGACATTCAGCACTTAACATTCACTAAACAGATTCTGAGAGTGTGCTGAAAGGCAAATACAACACAAACAATAACTCCACAGTTAGGCTGAGGAAACACTTCCAAAACAAGCAGATAAAAATACATTACGCAAGTGGTCCAGACTCCTCAAAAGTAACATACAACATTCACACTGGCCACCACAAAGCAATGAAGTCCTGAACAATAAGAGAAAATCCATGTGGTTTGGATGATACAATGGATAAGACCAACCCAGGAGATGACAAGCACCAGTTGGAACACTGAGAACTGGGGAGGTGGTAGGCTCAATCATAGACCTGTCTGGAGACACTTGGCATTGCAGGAATAGCCCTCTTTGCTATCCCCAAGGCCTTATCCCAATAGAAAATGCCTGAGGGCAGGCTGAGGGATTCAGATTTATTTGCACTGAGGTTCTCTGCCCAATCAGGGCAGCCAGCGCAGAAAAAAACACAATGTCAGTAAAAAATGCAAGGGTCCCACAGTACTGCTTCCTTGGATTTCCCAACCCAGCAAGGAAAAACACAGGATTCAGGAGGTGCCTTGCCTCATGCCGTGCCATGCTGGCCCACACACCCCTCACACTAGAGCCAGAATAATTTCACCACTCAAAGCGTTGTTGTCAACCACAGGAGAACAGGCTGTCAGGGGCCAACCATCACTACCCTTTGAGTCGTTGCCATGCCGCAATTCTCCATTCTCCATTCTCATTAGCTCCAAAAACTCCTCCAACACACACTGCCATCACCAGCACAACACCATGACAAATAAACCTGAATATTGGTG